TATGCAAAGCAAGCACGAGCAAACTACGAAAATCCGAGACAAAATCTAAACTCCTATTTGCAATTTAAATTATTTCTATTAAATTATTCAGCACTAGTTGGTATGTTAATAATTAAAACAATATATTTTATCACTATATTTTTTAAATTAACCTCTAGCTTCATCACTGGAAAAATAACGAGAGTGTTAGAACAATTTATACGTATATATATATATATATATATATATATATATATATATATAACGTAATGCAGCCATATCAAGTGACATTTACAGAATATTATATTGCGCATAAAATTACTAATCAAAATCTTCTCCAATTATCCGAATTAATGTATTCGTACTATGAAGGATTCAATGATGGATATACAATATTTAATCTGTTATGTATCACACGATGAATCGAAAATATCTAGTTGTAAATTTGAATCCGATGATATGTAATGGATTAATGCTATTGATCAGATTGTACATTTATGTTATTTAAATTTAAATGTCGCACATTTATCGTCGCGATTAATAACGCCGAAAATTTCTTAATCCGTTTCGACGAATTTGTATTGATAACGCACGATGTGCAATATAATTTCTCACATTAGACAAATTTGTAGATTTATAAAATGTTACGTATCAAAGATCGCGTGATCTAACTATTTATTTATTACTGCAATGATGGTTTTGATGATGGTTTTTTAAACGGTACTATTGATAACGGCTATACGCTGCATGCTTAACTATGGAATAAAGTGGATTGCATTTTTATTACTTAAACTGTTTATATACCGTGAAAGAGTGATTAATACGTAATAGAGAGTTACAACTTTGTGAATTCAAAATAAAGACTTTCATGGCGATGTTTATGCCAGTATGTTTCGGTCTACAATAATGGAAACATTTATATCCAAAATAGCTAATAATATATTCAAATGGTTTCGCTTTCTAACCACGTGAAAGCGATTACTGCAAACAGGATCAATTTGTACGGTATCGATCAGTACGTGATATTTGTCGATCTTTTATTTGTATTCGCGATCGTAAAGAAATAGCGAGAGACAATAAGATGTATACGCGAATGAAATTGAAGAATAATGCTGTTGAAAAAATTGTTAAAATATTTTATACTTATTCTCTCTTTAAGTGTATAATATGTATTTATTTTTCTTTGTTATTATAAATTGAATTCGACCAGTTTTCTTTTTGTGTAAGCATTTTTTATTTTACTTTCAAAATGAGCTGATGATATCGACAATACACCAATTAATCAAGATACAAAATTAGCCACTTTGTATTACGACACATTGAATACAAAATTGCTGGCGCCTAAAAACACAAAAATGATGTAGATCTTAGTGTATCTAACAACAAAAATTAATTCGACAGAATTAATGAAACAAGTGGAAAGTACCTGTACTTATCGATATGTGCAATTGAAAGAATTAATGGAAAAAAGCAGTCGACAACAAATCCACGAATAATTTCATCGTTATATCTTTACAGCTGGACTGATAGATGTAATTTAAGATAATTGCATTGCTGTATTGTGAAGTTGAACGATTTCTGCGCTTCGACCAGTTTCTGTATGTTGATACAAATTGCATTTAGAAGTGACCAAACGTAGCAGTCCGGTAACTAATTGATGTAATATTCAATGAAGACACTTTTGTACAACAGAATATATATTCTGATTGTAATTATATGTGATTATATGATAAGACCTTTCTACATATATAATTGTACATGTGAAATCCGGGACAGAGCGAATATGGAGAAAGGATAATTAGTGCGAGATTTGAATTAGAGAGAGAGTATGATTTCTTCATTGAAATTACATTGAGAACATTTACAAACAGGTCATCATTGAAATTGTCATGCATGCGATTCTAATTAAACATAATAATCATCGGAGCAATGTGCGATTATAGACGTGTGAATCAATTGTTAATAAAATGTTAATGTGAATTAAATGTTAGTGTGTGCTAAACGGAACAGAAATTTTGTGTACGCAACTTGCAATTACGCAAGTGAAAAAACGTGACGGAACTGAATGCCTTAAATTAACGAGAAACATCGTTATGTCTTAGTTTTAATTTTTAAAGAAAGCTAATCTAGCAGAAGAAATTAATTGATGCGTGTTTTTTAACAAATTTTTTAACGGGTTTTATTAATAATGATATGCATTTCACGAGAGCATTTCAATTTGCATTTGTATGATGGAAATAATACCTATTGCAATTTGTATATAAAATTTTAACATTTTATTAATTAATACAGGGAAGAACGATATTTTTAAACACACATATATATACACCCCCCCCCACACACACACACACACACACAC